TATTCCAACTGATGTTAAGTTTCAAATATTCATTGGCAAGGATTTCTCTCGATTTCGACGAAGAATCAGTTTTGAAAAAAAGTGTCTGAGAGAATGGCTACGCCATTGTACATCGGGTGTGTGGACTCGGGGCAGTTTTAATGGCACCCGCACGCGGTTCTCTTCTTTCTGGGTCCGAAACACGAGTGAAGGGGGCCCCGAACCCCGAACGGTTCTCATCTGCATATAAATCACTGGTCGGACAGGCTTTAAAATAAAAGAAGAGAAAATAAGGGAAGAGGCTATTGCGGATCCACCAATAATCGCGGGCATCTCCCGACGCTTCCTTTTTGCAGCAAATGAAAACAGAAGGGGAAGAGTTATCGCTTCCCGATTAATATTCATGATGTAAATTACATTTCTCCTGGATGTGTTCATTAACACTTCGTTCGATATTACCTCAGAAATATTTAAATTGTAGAAGTGTTACGGATAGAAAACGTGTGATTGATAATAATAATCATGCGTTTCAACTGAAAACGTATGAAGATATAATAGGTATGATTATCCTAAAATTGATATTCTCTTATTACCTTGGCTTCCAAGGTTTCTAGCTGCGCCATTCTGGGTTCCAGAAACTGCTGTTGGGTGCCCGTGCCCGTGTGCAAGGCGGTCTGGAACCAAGTTAAAAAGTCTCTGTTTTACGCGAGACGGGACGGGGCGGTGTTAAATAGGTATATACGTCTCATTGTTAGCTCTCCGGAGTCATTCCCTTCGGAGCTCGCTCTGGGTAAGCGTGAATTATGTACATTGCTTTGAAGCCAAGAAATAATGCGAGACATCGCGGGGCTTTCGTGAGAATCGCGATTTCTCGGTCTTGCTCGGGGATTCTCACGATTACACGCGCGTCGTTCCCGTAAAAAAAGTCGGTTCACGTGTACGCGCACGGGGATTACTCTACATGGTGTCTTATTATTTCGAGCGTTAAACTTTCGTCTCGCGGGTTTATCGATGAGGATTGAAAAAATCACCAGAGAGACCGATCGCTGTTGTAGTTTCAATCCTAGATCCTCCTTAACGTCGCCGCAGTCAGTCGTATAGAATAGGGCGCTCTTCTTCGATGCCCTGGAATCAGAGATCGTCGATCCAGTCGGTTCAGTTTTACTTTTTTTAATCGAAGGAATCGTCGCTACAAATTGAAAATATCTACTTTGATCAATTAGGATATAAGTAAACTGTATCTTATAAACTGCGTTAGGAACAACTTTCGACGTTCTTTTTTAGTAAAATTACGAGACGTGTTAAATCGTCGTGAATGAGCTGATAACTGCGAGAGCGACTACGATGATCTAAACGTCTTAGTATCGTAGCCTTCAATTAAAGGCGATAAATCGTCAAGCGACACATAATCCCTTTCACGCTCTCGTTGCTGAGATTGCAATTAAACCGCGAATCTGTAATATAATACATGTGTTGGCGACGAGTTTTATTTGTGTTAATCACACCTGAGTGGCTTCCCATTCCGGTTGAACGGTTGATGTTCAGCGAGCACCGGCGATTCGGTGTGGCACCGGCCCTCATTCATGATCGCGACGACGACACCGACATTTCAAACCGCGTTAATCTCACTTTAACGGCAGCCGTGTCGACAACTGTAACAGAAAAATGCTATAAGTTCTTCTTTTATGTCCCCTTATATTCTGAGTTTTTAATCGACTAAGTTTAGGATTATTATCAATTTTAGGAACGAAAGGGGGGTATGAGTAATACGTAACGAATCTTAGTTTTACATAATTTATTTATTCAATGTTTGTGTTTATTAATTATAATTGTTAAAAGCAAACAGGTAAACTTGATCTAAAAAGTGTATGCTCTTCAGTTTATCTAACGGGGCTTCTTACAGTTAATTAGTTTTTTCTAATAAGAACAGGCGCCATGGCGTGGCGGTTTCAATGAGTAAGCCCACGTACAAATCGAATCGTTATGAGTAATACTCCTGTTCGCAAACGTATTAAGTAACAAGTATGTAGTGTACGTAATGGCAGCCTCTGGTCTCTCTATCTGCATAAGTTATGCGCGAGAAAGTTCATTCTTCTGCCCACTAACAATAAGATAGCGTACAAACATAAACCGACGGGCATAAGTTCATAAATATCTAATAATTTGATGCATACAACAGCCCCTTAAGCATCTTTAAAGTATGTTCCATTCTTCTTAAAGCTGCATCATTATATTTTAGTAAACTAACAGAAATCAATGATTTACGTGTCGTCATTTCTAAATAAAGTTTCATAAAATTAAATTAAAATTGAAAATCGATTATCAGACACATTTTTATTTTATAATTCTATTATCAAAATTGTTGGATAAACTTTCGTTCTTCCTCGGAAAGAGCATTTTTATTAACGAATTCAGCCACGTTCGACGCATGTTCTTGCAATAATCGTTTTCTGTCTTTCTTCATTCTCTCCGCTTTAATTTCCTCTTGCTTCGCCCGATCTTTAAGATCTTGTTCCATGATGGCTATTTCTTTCTCTCGGATCTTGCGACGAATTTCTATTAATTGTTTCAAGTCCTCCGCGTATTGAGCTCGCATTCTTCTCCTAGCTTCGTCTGTCAGTTTATCAATTCTCTCGTCTTCTGCAATCTTCCTCATAATCTCTTCCGCGAATTCACGGTCCTTTCGGAGAAAACGAAGCTTGCACTCTTCCGTAAAGAGTATCTGTTCCTTCAAAGCATTCACCAATTCCTCTCTCCTTTTCTTTCGTTCAATTTCCTCTTCTTCATCGCTAAGAAACAGTTCCAGTCTTATGTCTTCTGTTATCAAGTCTTCTATCATTTTTTCTCTTTCTCTCTTATGAATCTCTATGCTCATTATTACATCGGCAATTTTGCGCATTGTATTTTCTCGCTTTTCTAGTCGTTCCTCGCGAAGCTTCTTAGCTCTCTCTGTTCTATCATTAATTTCCTTCAAGTACTCCTCATTTTCAAGATCCTTCCTCACTTCCAACTCCTCTTCCTTCTGAAGGCGTATCTGTCTCATTTCTCGCGACACCAACCACTGCCTTCTCATAATCTCCGCCAACTCATTCTTCTTCTCGAAGATTTCAAGCATTTCGCATTCCTCTCTTATTTCATCCACCTCCGCCAGTATTTCTCTTTCCCGACGAGCTTCTTCTATCGCGATCCTCCTCTCCTCTCCCTTCTGTTTTATTTGAACGTCCAGCTCTTGCCTATAGGCTGCGGATTTTTGCTCGCGGCTCTCGGATCTCCTGCGAGGATCATCCTCGAGGACCGCCCGCTGCTCAACCTCGCGCGCGGCTTGTTTTCGAATATTTTCCACGTAACGCTCGGCCTCTCTTTCCAAGAGCTGCGCTCGCAGCTCCTTCGCCAGATACGCTCTTCGCAATTCCGCTTCCAGTTCCGTCAAATCGTCGCACGATTCTCGATTTCGCACGCTCCGTCTCAGTTTCGCGATACGATATTTTGATTCATGCTCCATGCTTTTTTCACGCTATTACTGTTACGACCTCCTCTCTCGTTACAACAATACTTTTTCCATTCGTACGTATACCGTTACTGTGTGTAATGATATTTCTTGCACTATCCGTTCAATTATATCTTTCGATAATAATGAACGGGGGGAAACGCGTTCATTAATAATGATTTATAATCCGTAGGAGTTACTCAACGAAATGACTTAACGGATTTGCTGCACTATTGTTTTTCTTCATAACAGTACGACGAGCTTGTTCTCCAATCGTTTGTACACGAGCGAAAACAATTTGATTACTGTTATAACTTCCGATTCATCGTTTGTCACGGTCTCAAAAGTATAAAAACTCCGACGATCCAGAATTGTATTGAGTTCGCATTTAATTTGACTTGTTCCAGTTTCTCGTACTTAATATTCCTTCTTGCACCTCATTTATCTGATGAATGATAACATAAAAATAATTGAGGATTTGTGTACAGGCAATGAACTACGATTCACGAATACTAATTTAACTAGAAGTGTATGAAGAAGTGACTTGAGAGATTTTAGAGATGAATAAAGCATTATTTTTGATACTTGACTTGAGAGATTTTAGAGATGAATAAAGCGCTGTGTTTAACACCGTTGACTTAACGTTTAGCTCTTATTTAACACGGATCCAACGTACCCTACGATTTGAAAGCGATCGTTATGAATCCAATCCACTCGAATATTGAACTTGAAAAATTCACGGGAACGAAGATCACAAGTAGAGATTGACGAACGTTTTGAATGTTTTTTTCTCGAGAAGAAAAATAACTGAGGAACGTTTGAAAACTTTGAAAATCCGGCGAACGCTTCTTGAAGCGGAGTGAAACGGTCTGAAACGCGGAGAGGATCGAGACCGACTAACCGGGTTTCGCGCGACGGATCTCGCGTGCCCCCTTTAAACCCAAACCCATCCCTCCAGGAACCCAGCCAGGTAACTTCCTACGACTCCTCGAAACACTTAAAAAATACTTGAGCGAACTCTTTTTCCTTTTTAACGAATTCACCGTAACAGTCTGGAGAGAAAGAATGAGACTTAGGCAATTTATATCCTTAATAAGGAAGACTGAGTACAGGATGAATCAATAAGAACTGTTATCTGATATTATTAAAAAAAATTATTTATTAAAACATTCAGAATTAATTAATTGGATATTCTCTATCAAATACAAAATTTATATAATATGTCTTTTAAATAAGAGAGCAACACTTTGATAATGCTTATGATGTATTTTTCTATTGTAAAAAGCTAAATTCTCTGTATTGAAACGATGCGTCTATCGGAATTGAAACATCTGGGACTTCCTTTCGATTTCGGCTCCCTAAAAATAAAACAGGTGGTGCGTGAATACCGTAGCAAAACGAAGGGAAACAATCGTGGCAACAGTTAGGTGTATTGTGAAACTTTTGTGGCCATACACTTTCTTATCCGGCCAGCTGATGCACGGTTTTATTCGCGGAAGTTTCGCATTTTACGAGATTCGAAACGAAGAATTTTTTAGCAATAATAGGAAGGATAGGAAAGAATAGATACTTCAGTTTCATAAAGGATCTTTTTCTGGACATAGTTTAAGGAAAATTGTTTAGAATTATGGAATAGAAACATCAGCTTCATTCACAAAAGTATATTTGGAAAAAATTGACATCACAGAAATATACATTCTCTCCTTAAGAGTACTGTTAGTATAATACTAATTGAACATTTTAGATCTGACGTGTAGATATCCATATGGTACGTATTATACCATATACGTATGCTTGCATCAAGAATACTTGTGTATAATACTGATCGACTATTATTATACAAATGATGAACAATAAATATCGGATATTCAACATCATTTATATATACATCACTGTATCTTCAAGGGAGAAAGTAATAGATTATAAAAAAATAGCTAGTGATGCGTCTAGTCTTCGATATAGTTAACGAATATTTCGGATCACAATAAATAATTTGTTACTTATGTTCGTGACCATCGACGTAAAAATTCCGTCAATTGGTAGAAACCCTGAGCTAATTTGGCAAGAAGTACCGAATATTGGATCACAATTTTCGATACACTTTGTTCTTAATAGATCTGTATAGGAGACATTAAGATCTTTATACATATCAAAGATATGACACGATCAACTTACAAACTACAAATTAGGGAACTTTATCATCTCTGATCCCTTTCAGTTTGGGATTCTCTTTCGTACAAACTAAATACAAAAACACACCTAACTTCATGCAGTTTATAAATAATACTTATTTCTATCTCTCACTGCAATCCAATATTTCTAGCTGTTTTGCAGTGTGTTTTCTATTTCATAGTATGTAGTGACAGTGTAACCAAGGAAAAAATACTTTGTGATAATTGTACAAATACTTTCGTTAACTATTGTTTATGTCATTAAAAATAATACTTCGTATTTCGCTCAAAAAAATAAAACAAAAATCAGAAACAAAGTATGGTTTCCATACGGCTGTGTAATATTTCTTTCTTAATCAAGAGTGGAATGACTTAGACTTCTCTACCTAAGTGTACACAAAGCTTGTGTGGAAAGCGTCTGGTCATTCGGATTTGAATCGTTTATTTCTGTAATTTGAATCCCTTCTGTCTCTGTATTCTCCTCTCCATTATAGGGAATATTATTTCTGGTCATTTCTCTTAAAAGAGATAGAGGATCTGGTATATAAGATTCGCTACAAGTATCTTCATCTATGTCGTTAAAAGTAGGAATGTTGGAATCAACAGCTATCAGTGAATTTTCATTTAACATTTCTACCGGTCCTTCTGTTTCTGAAGAGGAGTCAGTAGATGATTTTTCTAACAATGGTTCTTCCAAGGAATTTAAATCACTTTTTGTTTTCGGTTCAATATTTTCCACCGATACTGATTTAGACCCCGTTTTTACGAAGTCAGAGTTTGAATTAGAATCATTCGAAGACGATGTGACAGACAGCAATGAATTTTTGTTTAACGTTTCTACAGGTATTTCTTTTTCCGAACATGAGTCAGTAAATGATTTTTCTAACAATGGTTCTTCAGAAGAATTTAAATCATTTTTTGTTTTCGGTTCAATGTTTTCCACCGATACTGATTTAGACTCCGTTTTTACGGAGTCAGAGTTTGAACTAGAATCATTCAAAGACGATGTAACAAACAGCAATGAATTTTTGTTTAACGTTTCTACGGGTATTTCTATTTCCGAATATGAGTTAGTGGATGATCTTTCTACTAAGAGTGGTTCTTTTACATAATTTAAATCTTTTTTTGTATTCGTTTCACTATTTTCAGTTGATGTTGATTTACTAATTTTTACTAAATCAGAGTTTGAATCATTTAAAGACAAACATGGTGAGGATAGATCTGACATCCATGCCTGGTCTATGCAATCTGATCCCTTATTTTGGCCTAAAACCGTGTCATCGAATTCTGTATCCGCCTTTACAGACTCTGAAGTCTTTGATAATTCCTGCAAAATCATTTGTAGGTCGCTGTTACAATTATCACTACTAGATTTTGACTCCGAAACACTCATATCCTCAGAATCAGATTTCACTTGTCTAACATTTAATAGCCTTTTCATCAACAATACTCTCTGTTTGGAATTAAATGTGTCCGGTTTGATGGATGTATCTTTTTTAGGAGTATCGATAGAATTACTGACTGTTTCATCGCTGCTCGTGTTTTTTATATTATTGATTTCATAAGAGGATTCACTATTTTGTATTTCAGTTTCATCTTTGGTCGAAACGCATAATTTATTTTTTATATTTCCGCTCACTCCTATGGGAGGACTATTAACTCTATGAGGGGAATCGGTACTTAGTTCTTTGCTTACATTATTCTCTCTTCTATTTTCAGTCTTTGTCATAACGTTAGTATTATTTCTTTTATTGTCCTCTATGTTCTCTAACTTCAAAGTATCGTAATCAAATTTTTTAGTGATGTTCCCACTTGGCAACCAGGGTATAAATCGATCACAAGAAATGTAAGACGAACTATTTCTCACTGCTTTAAGGAAATTATCGTTAACAAGATTTCCGTTTAGTTTCTTACATACCGAATTTTTTAAACCATTATTTGGTGAATTAATAGAATTGTTGACAGAATTTGTATTTGTATTAGTTCCCCATTCATACAGGTCCATTGCAAAATTGTAATTCGAATCATTCTCTTTTGTTTCTTCGTTCTCATTCTCGAAATTTTCTTCTTTCTCGCCCTCGACACTTCTTTCTTTCTCGCTCTCGAAATTTTCTCTTTTCTCACTCTCGACATTTTCTTCTCTGGCTTCTTCTTTATTTTTTACATCGACATTTTGAGCGACAGGATCTAGTTTCTTAACTTTTCTTTCTTCCTGATACTTGCGTTCTAAATAATACTGAAATGGAAAATTTTCGGATTTCTTGGATACTATTTTGCCGATTCTTGCTAATTCGAGTTCAATTAATTCGTCTGTAACGTGTATATCGTTATTATCTTCCGACGTGTCCGTCAAAGTGATCGACATCGAATTTGTCTATAAACAGATTTAAACAAACATCATTAATTCAAGCGAATTTAAAAAATCGTTTGGTATTCTTACCTGTTCATTGCGCGACACAACTATTGCCACCAGATCTTTCTGCATCGTCAACTGTGCGAATTTTTGTCTACTCTTTTCGCACCATTGGGATCCATGACTTGGCCTGATGTTAAATAAACTACAGGGAATTGCTTGCGAAGGTAAATGAGAGAATGTTTTATGTAGGTAGTACAGCGATTCTGCAGGATAAGACTTAAGTGTTCCATAGTCTAAAAACACTACCTGCAATAACAGTAATCAAGTTTTAATTTAGACGACAATAGTTAAGTATAATTTTAAAGTCTTGCATACTTACGGTAACACAGTTTGTTTGAACGTTTCTAATTATGGCTCTCTGCCATAGTCCATCGTACTCACACGCACAGTACAAACCCTTTTTCATCATATAACGTGGAATTTGGTACTTGTCGTGCTTCTCTACATAAAAATTACTGGAAACGACAGTTGACATTTACTACACAGTTTTTTAGTCACAGTTATGAAATTAGTTTCTTATTTATTGTAATTAAACGTACTGAAATTGCCTCATAAAATTGTGAAACATTCTTGCATTGCGACGGAGTCTTATCCAAAATACTGTAGGCGTGTACACTTCGGCGACATGAACTTCTACAATGTTTAAATCACCGCATTCAATATCCGCAACTTTGATGGGTTCGACATAGTCTCCAATAGTCATGACATCGTTCGGTGGAAGCATGTTGAGTTCCTAAATACAATATTAACGTGATTCAATATCAATTAATGATTATTAAGATAATTTAAGAAAAATGTGTTTACCATTAATACTGGTATTCTTTCCGTTTTTTCCACATGATTCCGAGGTATTTCCTCTACTTCCTTTATTTTGAATTGAGGTATTGCCGTTTTCAAAGGTATTTCTCTTTTTGAATAAAAGAGTTTAAAATTTCCAGTTTCTTTACATTGGACAAGATGAAATATATCTGTCAAAATTGATGTGAATTCGAGAACGCTATTGAAACCAAGCTCAACATAATATAGATGAACTTTGTATTCATCTAAATATGCATTAGGTAAATTTTCACACCATATTCCATCCGAGTGTTTACTGATAAGCTTTTCCAGTTGAGATTTAATATGGTCGCTTATAAGTATCGTAGCATTTACTTTTATATTGCTATCAAACAATTGAGTCAGACTGTAACCAGCATATCTATTAGAATTGGATAGATCTTCTTTGTTCTGAAGATTCTTAGGATAGACTTTGCTGGATTTACAATAAATCCTGTGACTTAACCACTGTATCTGTATTTTAATATTCTCCGCAGTAATCCTTATGTAACTCATGCAAGAACTGATCTCCCGTGTTATATAGTCCATCCTTACACCCCCTGGATGTTGTTCGACGAAAATAATTAATTTGGTCAACATAGCAGCTGACAGAAAAGCCATAGAAGGATAAGTCGTAGGATAATAGGGGCTAGGCCTAAATGTTCTCCTACATGGAGCTTCTTGATCTCTTTGGTGAGCCACCATTTTTGTGATATGCATGGTCTTCTCAGATGGAATACCAGTAATAATTACTTCATTGTTCTTTTCTTCCATTTTTACAATATCTGGCATACTGCTTAGTAAACTTTGTACAGAACAATGGCCGAATTTTCTCCATGGTATAGATCTACCTTCCAACTCGTAATAACTCTTGTTTAATTCGCTTAAAGTACACCCATTTTTATGGGAAACTAATACAGCTAAGATTGTTGTACGAACTTCGTCAAGCTCTTGCATACAGTTTACCATTCGGTTCGAACTAATCATTTTATAATGTTCCATGATTGGTGTTATTTTGCCAAATTCTTTTGCACGAATAAAACAGGTAATGTATTACACACTAGAACGTGTTCCAAGTTACAGCTTGTTGTAACAATAATTAACTTAAAAACAGCGAAAATGGCTAAAATCGGCGATGACTTAAAACGTAATGTATGTACAATTGCTTTACAGCATAATGATCAACAATGGCTGATTTGCTTCAGATTTCTTTGTTTCCTTTCTTTTCCTCGTCTGCCCCCTCCTCCTATTTGCTCCACTCCTCGTTCGACGTAGGAAGGAGATTGAAGAAGATATGAAGAGGAAATATGAATGTTGTATAGTGAATCCATACAATATGAAAAATCGCGATCACGGTCATAATTTCAGTGATCGTGATTTTCCAATCGCTGTAATAAATAGTGATAAATCATGGATAAATCACAGTTAGTGATTTTGAACGCCATCTCTAGTAAGGAGAGGTAGGTGCCAACTTAAATCTGATGATTCTTGAGAACAATCAATCTTTATTTCAATAATCAATTCTTACAGCCTACTACCTGCACTCAGATTCGAATACATGGACAGTGCGTGAAATAAGTGGTCAAATTTCAGTGGATCCTATGATTGAAAATATATATTTTATGGGATTTTGTGCACAGCATTGCGCAGTGCGCACAGCCCTTACATATTTCCTCACGTTTTTCCGCAACTATGTGCTATCCTTCAACATCGGCTATCTTATTACATAATACTCCATTTTTCATTGTATTCATTTATGTTCATTTTCTACTTTTGATTTTGGAGCTCTCAGTATTGAACTCTCCAAATTGGTTCTTATAATTTCAGTCATAGTTCAGGGCTAAGGATAAATAAAGAGAAGAACGATTAAAATACCAGCAATTTTATTTTGTTGTTATTACAGAATCGCTTCATAAATATGTTGTTTCACCAATTTGAGAGTACAACGAAGTAAAGAAACATACATATGCAGAATTTTAATGTTAAGAATATTTTATGGTAACTTGTTAGTTAAAGTAAGACGTCCATAAACAAGTCCCTTTGGCGCAGAGGATAGCGCGTTGGACTTCTAATCCAAAGGTCGCGGGTTCGATCCCCGCAAGGGATGATGCGTTTTGCATCCACATTTCACGATTTCCCGGCGATCTTTTGGAAAATAAAACAATCGCGAACAAATTGTACTTTATATCCCGTTTTCAGTAATCTTCACGATTATTTCTTATTCTTTTATCGACAGGGGTCTGGAGAATCGAACTAAAAATAATTCGCGAAATGTAAATCGGAGGTTTATTTTAGGAACAAAAAATTTATTATGAATCGTTCGATTGTTTTATGAATGCACAATGAATTGATTATGAGTCATATTTATCAGATTATTGATTGTGAGAATATTTGTCCTCGGTACGTGGCTCCACGCAGCGTGGATTCTCTGATTTAAATCTCGATCCCTCCACCACCATTGATGCTGTCGTCACAACCCTGGCTGGATGGATAGCAGCCCCGTTCCCCTATCAACCCCTTTCAGTGGTACCGCTTCCTTCGCAGAAGGCGTACCTCCGCATTCCGTCCGCGGTCGTCTGTATTTTTCTACTTTGCCAGGGGCAACGCAATATCTCGACAAACCGGGACCCGAACTTCCGATCCCCGTGAAATTCTCGAGTTGCCCGATCCGCTTAAAACGAGTTCTATCAAACTTTTACGGACGAGGAAACATCCGCCTGTCCGGGATTTCTGTCTATTCGTATTTGTATCGCGTGTTCTATTTAAGTCGTGTGGTGTGGCAATTCATTTTCAATTCTTTTCACCACAGTGTTTGCCTTTACTCTTGTCAAGCACGGTGTTACGTTTGAAAATATTGTACAGTGCGTGGGAGAAGTGTCACGATGTTCGGAACGTAAGTAACGTCTCTAACAGCGAAGCTACTTAAAGGATTCTTTTTACAAATTGTTAGTTTCATTCGATCTACGTTCGATTCGTTTGAAACTAGAACCATAGTGTTTGAAGAAGCAATCTGATTCGCGAGTCATGTGAGAGTACCGTTTGAACCAGAGTTTTATTGGAAGTTAAATCGGATTTGAATCGGTATTATCGGAAAGCGTCATCGAGTTCGGTGGGTTCAAACTTTTTTAAAAACTCGAAGGCGAAGCCTGATTCTCTCTCGGATCAGATTTACTGGCAGGTATCGCTTTTAATTTTTCTCATTAAGGTTGAAAAGAATTGTTTCCCATCCGTATTCTGTTATCTTTATGATTCCATTAATCTATCGAGTTAATTAATCCCCTTTCTCGTCTGTAAACTAGCAACCAGGATTAAACACCGACACAGCAGTGTCTTTTTAATTATAATTGTTTTCTCTCTCCCAATAAGAGAGCCCTGAGTACAATCTTCTTTATTTTATTTCTGGAAGTTGGGGCCAAGCGACCATTTTGTCCCTCGGATTGTTGACGCGGTTGTTTCATTTGATAATGAAAATGTGATCAGAGATTATATCCGCGTTTTAAACTCCCAAGGATATATCCTTGAATACGTTGTTAAATGTTCAACCCCCGACAGTTTCGCTAATCCGGTAATAAAAACTGGAAGCAGTGAAAAGATTCTCAAGAAACTTTCCGTAATTCTCAACTATCTGAATTACATGAAGCGCATTAATTTTTTTTTTTTTTATCAACGAACATCGTGCTGGTATCGTTCATAATATCGCATTCATAAGCGATGCATTTTTTTAACGTATTATTTATTGTGATTGCGTGATGCACACCTGTGAAACAATCGCGAGGACAGTAATTGAAACAGCTCTGACATTTATAAACTACGGAGTACAGGTACCAAAGCCAATTTGTTCAGATCAGATATGCAGGTAAACATAAACTCATTACAGAGAATAGAATTAGCTTCGTTCACATGTCTATACGTACAGACGGTGTTACGTCTCGTTATACCGACGGAATATTATTGTTGAAAACAATGATCTTCCGGGAGTCGGCGACATTTAAATTAACTTCATATAATTACATTTACGCCAGCCGGGATATCAATTTCTATTTTCGTTTTTAGCAAATATTTGACCACTGGTTCGTCGCCTGATTTAATAAGAATGAAGAGCAGAAATATTTGCTCACCACCGCGATTCATCTACCATTTAAACTTTCACCAATATTTACAGTCTGGAGATATCAACCTTATTTGTCAAATGTTCAAATAAAATTTTAGATCTGATGTGAACTAGAAAAAATGTCTAGAATCAGATTAGACTGTATATTACATTCTTTTTGCAACCCCTTAGAAGTTTTTGACATTTACAGAACAACCCGCGAACTCGACTCGTGGCTCGATCACTGTTTACGTAATTCGGTTACAAAAACAAAGGCATAAATAGCTCATCAATCTCAGTTCTTTTTTTTTTCGACCAGCTATACGTCACTGAGTCTCTTTGCATAAGAGGCAAAAAAAATGTATCTCGAAGGGGAGACCAGGCGACAGATATTAATAGCTTTTAGCCCGCTCTTCATTCCGAAAACGCTCAGTTATCATTCTCCCGTAGAGTTTAATAACGTTCGTGACACAATCAACGAAGGGAGAATCGCCATACTCATAGTTTGCTAATTCCTATAGAGTATAATAGCTTTGAGGGCATAGACGAGCCGATTGTTTACGCGTCGCGTTCAAATTAATTATTCGATCCATAGTGACTGAAAGATAAAACGCCTTCGCGTGCGAGACAAGTTAATTAGCTGGTTAAGTGCCTCCCTAATCACTATCAAATTCACCAGCTGGCTACCCTTTCGCGTTTCAATATTAAGGACATCTCGTTCCCCTTCACGAATACACGTACGTCCAACTTCTTTCATATTAATCTTTAATACCAGCTTTGGAAATTCATTGATAATTAACTTTGTAACAGGAATAAACTCGGGAACTTTCTTCAGGCGACGATAAAGTACAGCTTATTCCACGAACTAGTTTTATTATTATTAAACTTAATTCGTTTCTAAGACTCACCCTTCGGTTCGAAAGTTGACGATAATTAACACAGGCAGGTTGAAAGGGTGACGTTGTTTATGGCAGTCGATTATGCTAATCAACGTTAGGAGTTGAGCGTAGGGAAACACGAAACGAAGGAATACTCCCAACGGTCAAACGAATTTCGTTCTAGAGAACTTTTTTAATAAAACTGATGTATTGCCGGATCGAAGTTTAACCACCGCGTTTAAAGTCGAACTTTTTACGTTCAACAAGCGTAATGTAGTTTATGTACGACGGAAAAATAGGAGAGGAGAGTGAAACGGTATTATTCCCAAGCGTGCGATGGATGTAGATATCCGACCACTGCTCCTACGCAACTTTATTTCGTTCCCGCGCTTCGGACAATAAAAAGTTGTTTGCCGCGCGCGGATCGTGCTCGGAGAAATATATCCGCGTTACCTTTCTCCTTTTTTTCGCAGCGAGTCCTTCGAGTCGTGCACCGATCGATATTCGTTCCCCGGAGATTTTTCGAACGCTGCAGAAATTACTTACCTTCAGTTTTTTATAGCCCCCTTTGAAAAATTATTCCGCGTACGCTACTTAGCCATAAGAATCAATTACCATCTTTCGCGATACGTTCCGCCTCTTACTCTCTAGATTTCCAATTCCGTCTTCCTTAATTCACTTCCCTTTTAATCTGGGCACAACAGAACTTACAACGATTTATTAACTTTTCAATTCGCTTTGAAAAGGTACGATAATTCATTCCATAGAAGTCGAGATATTTAAAAAAAACCGGGACGAATCTAATGCGAGTTAGAACGGACTTAGAGGATTAATGTCTGCAATCCGCGTTAGGACATGTTGTTAGCTTCCCTAAGCTATACGTCAATAAGATTGTTCAGGGTTACATGTCAAAGGGGATCGAACGAGAACTATAGTGCAAGACAGAACTCTGAGCTACTTACATTACATATGATATTTCGTATGTACATGCGCTACGGCACGTGCGTTGTGTACTAACGAATATTTTAAACTTAAACGCCTTGTAAAGAGCTTGGCGAGGAAGTAGTCAGTCATCACGTTTTTGTTGACTTACACGTGTTCTTCGGTGTTGAAAGTTGTACAACTTAGCCCTAACAAAAGTATGTCACTCAATTTAATTAGAAGATACATTAAGGAAGTTCTGTCGATAGTAGAATTAACAATCACATTTTTATGGAATTTAGTATTTTTATATACTTCATACTAAAATCTGATTATTAATTATGTTTCTAATGAAACTTTCTCAAATAAAAACATAATATTTAACAGGAATGATCGATTTATATAGTTACTTGAGGTTCTGCCATAAATTCGCGTGGGCTTATAAATTATAAAAAGAATAAGGCAATAGAGAAAGGTGTTGCGAATACTTCAGGTTCGGCTCGATATTAAGTAATCAAGCGCTTGAAAATTAATCGCGGATTGAAAACGACGAAACGAGACGGGGACAGTGGTTATCGCGGACACGAGTGCCGGGAGCACGTGCCATCTCCTTGGTGATGCGATTCCAACGCGATTTTAATACCCGGTGTTCAGAAAATTATGATCAGACCGCGGATTTCTATGCTATTCAGTTTCAAGCTTTAACCACTTAGAACTCAATTGTTAGAATAATCAATAAAGAGATTCACTCGATTTTCTATTATACATATATAATATCTAGTACATACGTATGTTAAATCTATCAATAGCTTATTGAACAAAATAAATTCATCATTAATGCTTATGAATTTCTTACGAGAGCATGAAAATCTCTATATAAATCCTAGGATAGGACAGTTCCCACGTATGATGACAGAATGTAATATCGATCCACCCCTCGTAGAATGTTTTCGTGACTGGCGGCTACTTATTCGTACGTTAGATAGTTAACAGAAAGCGAAAGTCGAGAGAAAGCTAAACGGTACCCGAGGTTTTCAGTGCTTCTAGTCCTGAATAGAGGATTCTCTTTGGTCGAAAGTGAAATCGTGAGCTTTCAAGGTGACCGGAAAAAACATGGCATTAAACAGTCTGAGATTTAGACGGTTTCCGTAATGCCAGTTGGAAGAGTAAAACCTAGAGAGAAAAATCTGGCTAGCATATGTATTTCTGATGGGAAAGCAAATAATGGTATTCTGAATTCAATTGAAATAATTTATTATCTCTATTTCTATTAATTAACGTTTTTTTTATTCATGGAGTGGCATAAATGCATTGTATAATGGTCAGTGCATTATATATGATTTTGAATGCTGTTAATTATTCCATAATATAATGTAAATTCGACAATGTATTAAACCGTGTTAATATTAATAGTTGGGTAATTAAAATAGATGGACTTCCTCCAGATTTGTCCAGTACACTTGTGCAAGACAGGAGGGATTCGAATAAATCCTTGTTAAGGCTTCCCTTATTAAATGTAGGCATGCTTTTGATAGAGATAGATCGAACTTACAAACTGGAATTTACCGCAATGCGGAGAATCCTCTAGCTGTTGTAGTGGCTTGCAAGAACTCATGTACCATACCTAATTGAGTTCCCCTTACGTTTAAGAATTTCATTCGCGTGACTTGCACGCATTTTGCTATTCGTGAACAATTAACTCGGGAAAACTGCACTCTGACACATGAAATGCCATGTAAAACCATTAAATCCGCAGGAATACATTAACGTGTACAGTAGAAAAAAATACAGTCGGCTAGGATTGAAACAAAATTCTTCAAACACTATAAAATATTCGTTGTGAATAAATATTGTCTAAATGTCTCTTCGTCAGGAATTATTCGAATTGTTAGAGGGTAGTTTAAGTCTCGATCTGGTTTACCAATTCTAGATAACGATTGGAACCAATTTTAATTGAGATGCGATTAAGATGTTCCGTTCGGATACCCCTCACAGTCGTCCTGCTTTAACGGTATCTAGAATCTGCATAGAAAAGTACCAGAGGATCGAGTAAATCGATACAAAAGCGCATCTGATTGCAGTGGTTATGGTGGAACGAGAGAAAAGGAAGAAGAATGCAGCAACACGGTAGAGGAGGCTAGATGAGCCCCAATTTCCAAAAGAGTATATGTACAAATCCAGAGGAAGAAGAAGAAGAACCACGAAATTATTCTACTACATTTGGAATAAGAAACGGAAGTGGAAAAGTTCGCGGTCCGCAGTTGGCCCGCCACATTGGCGGCATGGTCCTTTGGGCCACCATACTATTCCTACAGGGAGCTGGTTTCGTAGGCAAGTTTTCCCACCCACCCCATCGTTCATCCCTTCGTCGCGCTCCGCATACTTCCCGACTAAAAAAGACTAAAGTATCCGTTTTATTCTGTTTTCTTTAGAAGTGTAGAAGACGTATCTGTTCATTCTTTTTAGTTACAGCGCCGAGGAGACGCTATTAAAGAGTGGCAGTGCCCGTGTAATCGTTGGGACAGCAAACGAGATCCAGTGGGACTCAAAACACAGTCGGCGATTACTCTTTTCGGTGGAATTAGAAGGAAATTGTATAGGACATTTCTTGTATCTGGCAACTGTCCAGCATCGACGAGTGTCTTGCTTTCTATTTTTTATTTCGGTCGCAATATATTCTCACAAATTGCCGACTTTCTCGTGCGAAACATCCCATAAAGCCGCCACTCTTTAGTAATCTCTTCTCGGTGATTCCAGTAAAATATTTTCTCACTTCTTTGAAATATGTAAGTCGAGTGGAGAATCGTCATCAATTTTCATTGAGGAATTCCTTTTACGAGGACTTGTTTGCACGATGTACGAGTGTCTATTTGGAAATGAGATTGAGAACTTTTATCGATCCTCGTGGTTCTGCTTATCTGTCTATGGTCCTGTTGAATGTTGTTAATGTATTCAGGCTCGGTGACGGGCATACCCGGTGTACCGGAGAACATAACGGTGATGTTCCTGAACCCGACTTCTGTACGCGTTTCCTGGAGCACCAGCCAGGTCGAGCAAGTCGAGAAATACGATGTCACGTACAAGCCGACCGATGCCAGGTGCGTTCGATTTCTCGTTGTTCCCATTCAACGCATTTCCTACTTCTCTATCCGCTACAAGCTTTCAAGTCACGAGCACAGCTTATCAATATAAGATTCAGGGAAAGAGAGACGCGTACAAAATTATAACAAGAGCTGTGAAATTTTGTATATTAATCCATTTGAAAATGTGCTTATATTAAAAAATTGTCGTGTACTCGATTAGATTTACAATTGGTGATAGTGTTTTGATGTTGTTCCTTGAAAAGGAATTCGATGTTAATTACTGTACTTTCACTCCTACTGCGGCACAGGAAATACAACGACAGGTACATAGTTAGCTAGTAATTTTTATTTAAGGTGTCCATTCAGATTTACATTGTATCGAGACGAGACGGCGACTTGACCCGCTGTTACACGTGCAATGCGTCTCTTCGTTCATTTTTTATTCTCTCTATTTAATACTTCCATTGTTTCCGCAACTATTGTGTACTCTTATTACTCTCTGTGTACTTTCCTCCTCTTTATTCAACCCTGTTGTCTTCGTAACTGTCTCCTATGCATGTGTGTACGCTATTGGTCTCGGGTAAAGAAGTTACTACGTGATTGCCAGAGGTTCGTCTGCAAGTCGGAGATGAAACGTGTAACAGAGGGTTAATAATAATAACCGTTAGAAAGGTAAGTGTTTGAGAAAAGCCCTGTGTAGATTAGTACAACGATGTTCGTTCCAAGCTATTATACAGTGCAAATAACTATAATTCATATTTTCTTCGGCACACGTTAGAAGCAGGCACTCAGTTCTCAGTTTACGTAATTAGGCAATGTCTAGTATACACAAGAAGTGCACTGGGTTTTTAGTATGAATATATAATATATTCTCATTATGTGAAGGCACGGTCAATGATTACGGTCGATAAAAATGGGTAACGAACACTTAAATAAACAAGGAACCGATCGACGTTAAAATTAATTTCGACCATTCACCACTTCTGCTTTTTAACTTTGACCCCTAAGTACTCGTGTACTTGGAGTTAGGTAGTTGAGGAGGTCTCGATCGCCGTAATTATGACGACTCGTGGAATACAATGGGAAGATGGTTAGTTACAGGGTGGTGGCGGTGGTCGCTGGGAACAGCGAAGCGGTCACTCTGAGCGGTTTACGGGCCGACACGCAATATCAGCTCGTGGTCACTGCCGTCAGGGCTGGGAAAAAGTTTCGAAGTCGACCCATTGTCTTCCGTACTCTCGGTAATTCACACCTCAACATTCAACACATTGACTGCCACCACAAATGCATACAATGAAACCTGACAAAGATACAATAATCATTCAGACAATTATCGATGTTATATAAAATTCTCACATGTTCGTTAACGTTTAATAGCTGTGCAGCCGGTAGAAACACACCGCGGAGAAATTCTATTAGAAGGCAATCCATTAGGCGTTATGTAACTTGTTGTAGGCAGTCAACGCGTTAGATATATCACAAATTATATTATTCACCTTTCGCTCGTGAATATGCAGCTCCGTTCGATTAATAATTCAATGTTAGTACGCAATCGATATCAGTTTACCGATAATTTGATCAATCGATCGAACATTTAATGCAATCACGATTCATTGCCAGTTTGCTGTCGGATTCAATTTCTACGAGAATTTCGTTAGAATTATACTGCAATATAAAGTTCTCCTTTAGATTAAACTTGCACTTGTTACATCTCGCGTTTCGATGATACGACGAATTTAATATGAAACGATATTGCGACACTCGTGTTTCCATTTCGTATGCAGAGCGAAATAGAGGCCGGTCGTTGGGCTATTTTGTATCCATAAAAGTGTGCACTTGTGTATCGTTATTGCAGAGCCACCACGAACATCCCCTCAACAGGATGCAGCGGTAACCGGCGGCCCTCTTCCACCACCTCCGCCCTCTTCTCAACAGCCACAGCCCTATATACAAGTGAGTTCAAGTAACAAACAATCTCCATCCATCTCGTATCTGTCTCCCGAAAGTCGATATCATTGGAAGCCCTATAATGGACGATCCATCATTTCAGTTTCTCCCGTTACCAGAATTCGTATCAACGCGTGACGAGATCAGAGTTTCGTAAAGCGTATTTATAGAGTCTCGTTGGGATAAAAATTCTCCCGAAAACGAGGTCGCTTCCGTCTATTTTCGTGACCATAATGTAAGCTCAAGCTTGCTCCGGTCCGGCTCATAAAGTTATCCTCTTTAAATTCGTAATCGATAACGAAATTGGTTCAAGTCCTGATGATTTGTAATCGAGAGTCTCGTTGATTTATGTCCGGGTTTGAATTATGATGCCAGGTCCGTGGCGTGGAGGTGGGCATAGTGGTACTGGTGTTGATCTTCTGGGCAGGTGCCATAGCTCTCTTCTTCAACCGCTGGGGAAAAATTCGAATGCTGCTGCCGTATCAGCCAGACTACAAGGAACAATTAAAGGTTCCTGGCACCGGTGTCTGCGCCACGGCCAACGTCGCGTACCCGCAACATCCTAATCAGCACACATGCTCTCAGGTAACGAGGAAATTATCCGATCAATCACTACTCGATGTCCTAATTCCTCCTAGCGTTTCCTCTCTCAGATTGCTGAATCTCATTCTTCTGCGATTTAAACAACCGTTACTTTAGTTAGTTATTATTGCTTTTTGCATAGCATATCTAATAAATTGAGTAAATAGTATCGTATTAATACTAGACAGAGAAACTGTTGCTTATTTTTATTGATTTTGCATAGGAGTAGATTTTTCATGGACCTGTGTCAGACTTATGACCGACTCGTACCACTAGAGCGACGTCTGACTTTAGCTCGTTCTGATCTACTTCAAAAATAAGAGCCTAATCTTTCGCCACTGTAGAGAAACGTTACTGCTGTTGTATGCACTGCTGTTTTCACTTATTGGGAAACAAGAATTTTATAACAATGAGCTTTGGCAATCTCCTAGAGGAAACTCGATGGATGGTGTCTTTTATCGGTAAATCGCGTAGACAAAGTTGATTTACAATCTTCAGTTCGAGCAGATTTTATTTGAAAAGTTTGATCCGTTTTATAAACGGTGAGAATATTTTCACTCGGTTTCCAAGGTGAAAACTTCAAGAGAAAAATATTTCTCTTAGTCTATATTGTTTTAACAAACCTGGAACTAGCCGTGAACTCCAGAAATATCGTTCATATTCTGGAGTACGTCCTGAGGAAAGCGTCGTTTGCTTTCATTTCTTATTCAAACAAAAATTGGAAAAGTCAAAGCTCTGTCATGTATATGTATGCCCAATCTTTTGAACCAGTCGAAGTTTCACAAAGCGATGACTTAACTCCTACGCAAATTCACGTCTACGTAAATACTGTACATCATTTTGAGCGACGTTGATACAACAAAGACCAGTTTTAAAATTCGACTCGATATTTTTCATTCGTTTTTTTAAATAAAATCGTACGTGGCTCGCGTATAACGTTATCAAGCGACGATAAATCACAGGGAGATTACGATATCGGTATTCGTATCGAGGGAACGTTGACTCCGAGTGATTAATACGTGGAATCAGAAAATCCGGCACGCGAAATGTAGATATCGCTGATATTGATTCGATCAGAATTTAATTGGGCGAGCGATACGTCAAAAAGACATATATAGGACGTACGTACGTACATACGTAGCTACTGTTCCCGGGTCGAATATTGAACCCAAGGAAGATATATCCTCCCTTAACTTGAACGGTGCCCATTTGTCTACGTCCAAGTTTAATTTCAGTAGGTACACACCGTAAATAAATTGCAAATTTACCATAGGATCGAGTAGGTAACATTTTATCAATGAAAACTCTCGACTTTCTAACTGTGACTCAGTAATGGGAGCTTATTATAAGAGAAGGATTACTTCTTCCGGCTATTATCGTTCAATCATCGACTAGTTAAGAGGAAACACTAATGGAATTGATCTGTTTCCGCCTCGACCGAACCCTGCTGAACCATTATCGAATCTCTGTCAAATAAATACAGTAGATTTCCTTTTATAAAATATATGAACAAACTTTGTAACCACGTCATTCGTATGTACGCGTAATCCTCGTTCATGCGTCAGTTATTATCATATTTATTACGTTGAATCGCCAGAGGTTTATTTACGTAACTTCACGTGTAAATTGAATTTTCTAATTTTCAGTCGGAACCAATGTTTAATTAATCTCATATGAGCAAAATTTAATTGATATTATTTTCATTTATTTTGTTTTCTATTAGTATTTTTATTACGGTTACTCATTATTTTTATGCCTATATTTCGTGTACAAGTCTTAGCGTCTATTATTAAAAAACTTAGCGCTTCTGTACAATGTTATTAAATTTAATTGATATAAACGTTGGTCGGAGTTCCACTGTGCCATTTATGTAGGTAGTAATCGAACGAATATTATATGTAGAAAAAGTATACTCGCACGGAACGTATCTTGAAGGTAATGAGCACATTGTCGGATATGGTGATGCAGTGCGGGGGTGGAGGCGGGGGCGGTAGCGGAAGCGGAAGCGGGGGTGGTTGTTGCGTGTTGGAGCAGTGCTTTCAGTACCCGAGGAGAACGGCCCGGGAGCCCCGGGACTGCGGATGCCAGTTCGCTCTCTTGCACAGGGCAGACGTCGCGTGACCATCGGTACTTTTACCTAACAATCTATACACTGTCTAACCCTGGCAACTGAACGCGCCTCGATAAAAAATAACAGCGAACACCTGGGTACACCGAGTTATTATTATATGCACGAGAGCTTAACGTCTTAATTAAGTCAATTTCAGGAGCAAGTAGTTTCTAAATGACTATAATACGAATAATCGTATAAAATAATTGAGTATCTGATAAAAAGAACTGTGTAATTGATACTAATTTCGTATTTCATTATTTTATCTTAATAACTTGGAATGTATTTCTTTAACCCCTTAGGATCTGTGTTATTATATGAAAACCAGGGAAATATCATTTTCACTATTTAATGACAGTTCTAAGTGACTTTTTTAATAGTTAAATTAATGTTGCCAGGGATAGTATCAGTACTGTTCTTAATCTTCTACGTTCTTCTATTTCTCTCTTGTTCTTCTTCTTGTTCGTCACTCGTTCGTACTGGACGTGTTCTCACAGCTGTGTCTGTCTTGTCTCACGCGTCCTTTTCTCTGTGATCATTTTTCTGTCTAAACTTATTTCGAGTTCCGACTGACTCCACTTTTAACCGTTCGAAAAAATGCTGAGAGATCAATAATTTTCGAGTGCCGAATGGGTAGATTCATACACTTCTCGGTCGATTATAAATTAAATCATTTATTTCGGTAAATGATCAGTTAGGATCTCCGTGTCATTCATCAGAGGTGCATCGTTCACGTTAATCCTTACAATTATTCTAGGTAAGCGTTAAACCGTATTTTAGAATGTATTCATTAACCCATTTCTCAAGATCTTACCATTGTTACTTTTGAAGAAACTGAAGCATTGAATGAATTTTACGTTTCAACAGATGGACTAAATATCTAGCCACGTTTGCATACGTGTTGACATAGTTTCAGCCGTTTCACACGTACTGCCTATACGAGAATGCTTTTAAGCGAACGCTTTCAACCAAATCGCAGTGCATGATAATCGCAAATGCTGAACGCTGTTTTTAGCTGAACGCGTTTGTCACCCTTTTCCTCTTCGACCTATTTGAAATTTCAGCCGGATGCCAAGAACTTCGACCTAAAAAGCTCTCTTTCACATTTTTCCACTTAATGCGTTACATGATACATTCAAACGAGAATTAATTTGCTTTGTTTTCGGGATTTTTAATACTTCAGCTGTATCCCTTTTCATTTTGCGACAATATGCAGAGGTCGTTTCCATTTTTCTACTGCTAATACGTTACATATTTAAGGATGTATTGGCTATACGGTCAATCCCGAAAGTTTATGTACTTTAGAAAAACGCACTTCCTATAATTAAAAAGAAATCAGACGTCGGAAGAACATTGCTAATAATAAACGACAAAAAAAAATTTTCGATTTTTCCGAGATTTTTCCAAGGGGTACCCCTTCAATTTCTTCCAAATTTTCGTTTTTGGCCAATAACTCCCAAACCGTTGGACATACGGAAAAATTGCATAGGACCTTTCTTGTAGAGGATGACGAGATCTACAATTTCCATGTAAAAAGTTTTCGCTAGCGTCCATAGTTAACGAGTTATTGGCAAAAAACGAAATTTTCGCAAAAATTGAAGGGGTACCCCTTGGAAAAATCTCGGAAAAATCGAAAATTTTTTTTTGTCGTTTATTATTAGCAATGTTCTTCCGACGTCTGATTTCTTTTTAAAAAATGCGTTTCTAAAGTGCATAAACTTTTGGGATTGACTGTATAGCCAATACATCCTTAATTCTATCATCACCATTCGTCTCATTAATTTCAAATCCGATTAATCATATTTACGAACAAAATGTAATAACTAATTCATCTTTTTTATTACATTTCATATATATAAAAAATTCGATAAAATCGATCGATCAGTGTATTTCGTCTTTTATACAATCGAGAGCTAAATTAGGCTCATGAATCGGCTGGAAGAAATCAATACACGCGCGATGCTAATTGTCCTAACTAAAAAGTGGAAGCGGTCGGTACTTAACATCCGTGAACGGGAGAACTTTTATTATCTACGGCTAGCAGCACTATTAACGCTTTTGAATCACGCCCGAAGTGGTCTCGCGTGCTTCGATCAAACGCACTTTAGATCACCACTTTTTAACTATTAAGCGCTTCCTCTTTTTAATACTTTTTCACCCTCTATACTTTCTACAATTAACTATGCAGCTTTTGCGTTACTTCAAATATTGAGTCGTCTACAGTATCTAAAAGTCACGTGACTAGCTCCTTAAGTTTCTCCTCTTCTAAACGCTTTTTGCAATTTTTTCAATACCCTTGACGTTGGCCACTAATTTTTTAATGTAAGATTCTCGTAAACCTCTTGCAGGATATATTAATTTTTTGTGAATTTTGTAAAAGCAGTTTTTTTATTATGATTAAAAGTGTCTGTTTCTCGAGGAGTCAAGGGTTACATGTGAAGATATGAAGGCTTACTATAATTTTAACCATTGATAGACAATATTGTCTTTAACATATACTTAATCATAAAAACCACTGCTGACCACTGCCCTAAGAGCAATTCGTATAGTATAGCTGGTTGTGAGTAATTGATATTGTTAGGTGAAGAAAGAAAAAAAAGATGTCATGGAAAAGATTTTTCTATGGGTAATGATATTAGGAAGAAAAGGATGGGCTATATAGAAAACAGGATAAAGTCGTACCTAATCCGACGTTTATACGAAGAATATTGGTTTCGAAAAGAGAAGGGAGGCAATGGCGCTCTCTATTCGCTAAATGTATATATCTATACATGCGTCTTGTCTCACGGTTCCCGAGGGGTAATAGCTTCCTGACCTAAATCTCGACGAGAGATATCGCTCTGCCAGGGACAGGAAACGAGTACGTTAACATCGTCTACTCAGGGATATAGCTGTATCTATAGATACTAAATTCGATCGAGTGTTCTCTCCTCATCCCTTAATTAAATTTCGCTAAGAAAGGTTTGATCGAGTAGACCTATGTACTGCAGAAAAACAGTCGGAATTATTGAACACGGTTTAATAAAACCGGAGATCGTTCATACATAAAACGAGCGAAAAAACAGATTCAAGAGTGATATAATTATTAGGTATTAAAATCGTCCCTTTTATCAATTACAATATTACGATACAAGGTAAATAGAGTAAGATTCGTTTTGATCTGAATACATCGGTTAATTATTTACTTGTTTGCAGCAAATGTTTGGTCCGTCACGGTAATTAGTATGTAATCACACGTTTTGCTACCACGACTTCTGCACACGAGTCAGCACAAATATTAGCACGCGAAGTAACAAAGTTAAGTCGTCACAGAAATAATGCACAGCTTGTCTAATGACACGGAACAAGTTGCTTGTCTCGCCTGAAATATGTATTACATTGATTACAAATGGGACACCCCCTGCGACAAGGGCGGAGGGGGAGACGATGAATGACTGAAAAATTTAGTTACTGGGTTAATAGTATATGAAAGGACGAATGGTGAGGACGAAGTCGTACTGAGTTTCGATGAATTTGCAGCATCTGCACTGGTCGAGCCATCACGTCGACTCGATGGACAGCGGGGGTGGTCTGGGATGGGCGAGGACCTCGAGGCCGAGGGTGAACAGCGCCATAGACGTGGCCGGGTTCCTCTCCCAGGTAACGACAACCGAACCATCTAGATAAGTATTTTAATCGAGTGAAACAAAAGCGACCGAGGCGAATCAACTATGTAATCGTTCCACTGACCTACCGCCGTCCATGAAACTTTCGATCGGTCTGTTAACCTTCCGTCCTGTCCTGTCAATTTCCAGTCACGAATAGGAAAAATGAGACCGAGGAGAATCGTCTGGAAAACGCGTTGAAAATTCCAGCGCAATCTAATCTTGAGATCGTTTCGAATTCGATTCGTATGTACGTTTATATCTACTCGTACAATCAAGCTAAGTGTCTCGGCCTTTCTTTTTGTTTAAAGAAGAGAAACAGAAATGAAAAATTTCTAATGCACTTGCTTCGATATCTCTGACGTGCATCACTCGTTATTATCATTAGTTTAAATTCAATCAATATTTCTTAAGACGTTGCTTATTTTTATTTCACCTGATGTATAGGAGACGTGGTTCATAGTTTGTATTTGAAGAATATGAAGCAGTATAAGATTTTAATTATTATTAAAATTGACTAACGCTTTCCAATAACTTGATTATGTATATAATAAAAATTTAAAAAGTCCCTGCTCCTTATTTCCAACCATTTAAATATTGTAAGTGAAAGAAAGAGACAGAGTACAGACTAGACGTCAAACGCTAAAGTTCAAGGGTAGTAGTAGCTAGTACCTAGTGGCTAAAGAGAAGTTGTGATCGATATCTTCGCGGTTTCGGTTCACCTGAAAAAAGAGTCGTTCGAATTTATTACACGATGCCAGGAACCTCTCTGTATAATGAGAATAATTTCTAATTTCCATCAGCACTTTTTTCATAAACAATATCCTCTCGAGATTGCATCTATTTTCTTTGGATTGCACAGAGCCGACACTTATTAACTTTGACATTAGTATGAAATTGTATAACGAGAGAACGTGGGATTTCTGCAATGGGATTTGGTGGAAACCTTTTCAGGAATTCTTGCGGAGGCACGGCTCGACATCGAAATTGTGTCGAAAGGTTCGCAGTGCAGACAATTTGCCGTTGGTGTCGACGAATCGACAGCAACAGGATCAGAGAAGCTCAAAGGACGAGGGGATCGATGGGGACAAGGAGTTCTTTCTGAAACCCACTCAAGAAGAGAAATGCGAGGATTCAGATTCGAAGAGACAGAGCAGTGTAGAAAGTGGCCCGAAGGAAGGTTTAGACGGTTCGTTGCTCGAGCCGAATCAACAGACACAGTCTTCTAGGTAAAATAACTTTTTCATATTTCTCCTCCATCTCTTTTCCGAAATCTCCTTTATTATAGTATAATTTTTTACGGACGTGTATTATGGAAATATCGTCTTGGATCTTAACATAAAAGGAACATAAAATGTACAGCTGTTCCATAAGTAAAAACACTTAAGGAGGACTCATGAATAATTCAACGAGTCCCACCACTGAAAATTATTCGAAAAAGAATTTCGAACGCGAAACTAAAATCAATATTGATTATAGTAATTGGTAGAAAGTCTCACGGGGACAATTTTTATTGTCACAGTAGATATTAGTCGTTCATACTTTATATAAAAAATAGTTTGTATGAAGATTACGTGAAAATTCTTGTAGCACACATATAATTATTACATAAGTTATTTAAGGTCTTTCTTATGTAATCTTTGCACGATAATAAATTTGCGTGATACCATCTCAGCGTAATAAAGGTTACGTATTACGTACTCTTAGCATGTTGCTTGCATTATACTCACGCATAAAACATAAGAAATTAAGAGAGACCGAGGGTGATGCAAATTTTCAAGAAAGCTTAAAGTAAAAAGTAAATTAGGAGTCATTTGGGTCAACAGTAGACAGTTTTATAATTTCAATTTGCAACGAGTATGAATAATGCATGTTTTATAGTCAACCTGTGGACATTTATTAGTGACGATGATCAATTATTCTACTGTGCTATTATTGGAAAAGATTGTTGAACGATTTTCAGAGAATCCCCGGTGATACCCTCGTCGTCCTCGTTCGTTGGACGCCGTTTCGGTGGATGGCGAGCTACCACCACTGGGAGTCATGAATACGTTCGATGCCCTATACGGCAACCAGCTTCCATGGACGAGCGGTAAGGAATTTCTGCTCTGAATACCTGACATCTTCCTCAAATTCCTTTACGATTCCTCCCGAGTAAATTCCCATCAGCAAGTACATACTCATTTTTAAAGTTAGAATAGCAGGTATAATCTGGTAAAGATATGTTCAGTACATTAAAAGAAGTTCTAAGAATGATATCTTCCGAGATACTCCGGTCTATTACGTAATAAATGTGGACCTTTGTGGAAAATAAAATATTTTTAATACCGATTCAGGGAAGATAATTTAAACAGAAATTATTTTATACAGCTTTTATTTTAGTAATAAAAACTAACGTTTCAGATCGTTAGACGATACATGCATGCATGCTTAAAAACGCTTAAAAAAAAATTGTCGGTTCGTAACATCGTACGTACACTTGTCATTTAAAGGAGGGGAGAAAAGGGTTCGGTTTAAGTTTGAGGGGCACGGATGAAATTCGCAGGTGTTACCGTCGGCCCTGTGATACGGAAACCCGGCAGTCGCGTTATCACCATCACCACAGACGCAGCGGCGGTGGGATCGTCGATCGGCACTCGAAGAGCTGCGATTACGCGAAACGGACCTCCGAGTCTAGTATCGAGGTGCAGCATTTCGGTCTGCCTATTCTTAGCGTCAGCGAGCCGAGCCCGCCCGATGAAAACGACCGCGTCGACGATTATTTGTAGGACTTGCTTGCCGAGGACTTCCTCAAGGAGCTCCTCGTGTAACAACCAAGTAGAGATACTTAACGAACTCGCTTCGCGAGTCGATGTGTCAGTTTGATGAGAAATAAGACGGGATGAAACGCGAAACATCTCAGCAATTCGTTATTCTTCATTCTTGTTAAATCCTGCTTTCGTTAAATAATATTTTTTAAATGAACATTTCTGATAGCCTCGTTCACTCGAACAATATTTTTATCTAGAAATTCAAAAGAATCTGTAATTTAACTTTAATTTTTGCATCGTGTACCATTCAATTACGCGAAACGTTCCGTAAAATAACAGAAATATTTTTTAACCATTCTTCTCGTTCGTTTGTTTTATCAATTGCTTACTTAGGCAGACGCTCGGAGCATGTGCTACTGGAGGGAGCGTTACAGGTGTGTAGACAGGGTAGAAATGTTTATTTAGCTATGTGTGCAGTACCACTCTCTTTCTCTCTCTCACGCACACACAGTATGGTATTGGTTACGACATCCTTTTCTTACTTATTAGTAAGCCATTTAAAAGAATCAATTTGAAGGAGAGAGGCCAACGTATAAACTATGTATCTCTCTTTTTACTGCTTTGTCTCTATACTTGGAAGCTACATACGTGGAAGCTGCCTCGAGTAGTACATGACCTAACTAATAAGGGAAGACGTAATAGTAAAGCGAAGAGAGCGACCAACTTATAAATCTATAAACATGAGGACATATCCTGCATAGACACTATCTATATATACGCATTCTATTCCTAATTGAAATTCGGTGGTCAAATATACCTTCTATCATTAAGATTAACCACCTTCGATAATAGACATACATATACCACACTCCATTATTGAATTTTCTTCATAGCATAAGTTTTTTTAATCGGTGCTCAAACCGGAGATCGACCAGAGTCAATATATATGTATATATATATGATATATATATACATTAATTCTTATGGATTTTGTTAAATTAAACGATCCATAATCGATAAATACATCTAAATATTATATGGTAAATCGTTCGTCTTTCCGTTTAGAAAATAATAAGGCAACGACTTAGTAACTCTTTCAAGCACCAAAACCTCTTCAATTTTTCTTTTATCAAGACTGATAATTATAAACGCTGATCCTTGCTTTGACACTGGCGCTGGTTTCAAGCTAGTATTTAGTATTCCAAACATTTACAGCTTTCTATTTCAATTCTCTCCTTCTTAATGCGTCAGGCATCAACGAATAATCGAAGGAAAAAGATTGACAATTATTTGATCGTCTAACTATTGTTAATATCATCACCATTCGATAACAATAGATATTGTAAAATATGTGCGACAGATTCAAGTGTCTGCTAGACCCGATCCGTGCATCGAAAACCAGGAGCTTATTAATTATTACTTACAAATTTAAGTACACTTTTCTTATTACTGTCACACAGCCGGACCCGTGTAAAGTATTCGGACCAATCAGTAGACGATACTTGATAAGAAAGGGGCCATTATTTCCTCCTAACGTTCAATTTTAGCAACAATTAAAATAATTAACGACGTAAGAATACTTAATATTTTCGCACACAAATAGAAGACATACACATGTTCTTTGATTCCCGTTTAAATCGATTTTCAGCAGAGCATTAATTCTGATAATTACGTTTGCTTCCTTCAGCAGAATTATTTCGATTAATTCATTCGAAAATATTCTCTTGAACGGATTAAACGTCCGGTACAAGAACAGCTCTTGCCATTAATTATTTGTTCAAAGACACGTAGAAAACAATGTAAAATATCAAAGAAATTTGGGGACCAAGTAGCAGCTAGTCGTGCGGAGGTAGAATCAAACAACAAAGCAGTTTCGTTTCTATTTTAATCAGCAATTAAATTTTCATTACCACGATTGTACTTTGAATTCGTAATAACGAACGGACAAGCATGACTAGTTAAAATGAGAATAACGTATTGTTCGCTTCCGATTATAATTATTTATAGGAAGCGAGCTACGGATACTGTCGCACGTATTGGTATCAATCGGACCTAAATGTAGATTATACGACGTATTATTGTACACTTACCTACATACATATCTATAGAAAAACGATACATTACGACCGTCTATGAACGGCAAATCGATACCACCGTACCCGTAACTGTTTTACGATTTCTCGATTATTCTTTCGCTCAATTACACCCTTCCTAATATAACTTGTAAATATCCTCCGTTTACCTTCGAATCGGAACCTGAAGACGAACCGTTCTTATTTTAATATTGGATAGACTTCGATCGATTGGCTTAATTCTTTGCTCGATAGAAAATAATATGATAAAAGGGCGATGCATAAAAAGTAATAAGTCGCAGGATAAGATCTTAAAGAAAGTAGTTTGTTCTTTACTTCGAACCGAGGGAGCTATCGAATAAAAAATTAAGTACGACTTGTAAAAAGTTCTTGAACCACCGACTAACAGTCAACGAAGACTTGCGTGTTACATATATGTATGTATGTACTTATAAAATGTTATTTATCGGTAAGAATAATATACATATTTCCTGTAATCGTGACATGCCTCCTGAGTAGCTACAGACGTAATTATCAATGGGCTAAATGAGAAAGATTATTTTTATTCTCAAATGATGTACGGAACATCTCATCTGCGGACGAGTGCTTAAATCGACTGGAATCGACTATTCTAAGAAGAGAGAAAACAGAACTCGTGCTGAAATCCGTTCGCCGGTCGCAGTTAAAATTAGTTAAAAAAATTTACCAATTAATCGTCCTTGATTAATAAAGAAACAACGAATACAATGCAATTATAATTGACTCGTTATTACAAGTGGAACGTGAGAGCAGCGTGAGGTCTGTATCGATAAAAGGAAGAAGCATCAATTACCTCCAAACCTTTGAACAATTATAGCTTTAAAAGAAAGACCAAGTACATGTTAAAGGATTCCTATTCTCTTAAAAAGAGTCGACCTTAAAATCCCGAATAAAACGATTTTTGGATGAGAGAAGAATATTTTAAAGTGACTATTCACTGTAGCAATCTCTGTATATAAATATAATTAATAAATACATATATATGTATATATATGTATCAAACTAAATATATATGTATTTAAATTAGAATATATTCTCGATCATGTTGATCTAGACGATTGATTCAATTCATTCAAGCTTGCACTGCGAGCTTCCTATTTGTCGTTATTAGCATAATGCACGTGGGAAATCAGAATGAAATGATCGAATACACACGAGTCATCGATTAATGAGAAAACAAGTGACAATTTTCATTCGGGAGGAATCTGTATCAATGAATCGAAAAACAATTAAAATCGACCTTTAATTGTGTCCAATGATTTACATACGTATGTGTAATAATTGCATGAAGATGTACTATATATGTTGTATATTACCGTTCGTTAAACGAAGGGAAATAATTGTTTAAACATTACTAAATGTGCAGAGATCGAAGTTTGTAGTTACAAGTAATAATAAGATAAGACTTTTGTTTACTTATGATTAATTATAGACGAGGTTTACATATAATAAAAAATGATGAAGCTTTAACTCTTTCATACATGTAATTCAATTATAATTGCATACCGTATAAAATAAATATGTATATAAACGAATATAATTTTACTAATAAAAAGTATCGTTCGGTAACTGTTATAAGTCATGGAATATTAATTCTGTAGTTTATTTCGTAGGAGAGTTAGAGAAAGGGCTTTACTAGGAAAGGACGTAGCTATTATTGATTACTTCGACAAGCTTCAATTATTCACTTCACCTATTTTCCATCGTATTGCAATCGTTCCTTAATTCTTTAGATAAACAAGGTCAAAAGTCTTAAGGCCGTTCGATTTCAATTAATCATCGAATTTAAATCAGTTCTCGTATCGTTGCTCTTCTTAAAACAGTCAGGATCGTTCGAAACTAGGACGGACGGGACGATAAGATTTAATATTAGAAATTCGTTATACCATTATAGTTTATACGTATAATTACAGTTTCCTCTTGTACAATTGTCTTTAAACATCAATTATGTATTACTAGACCATGTAAAATCACAAGTCCGAAACGAGCTTAGGACAACGTCTTAAGTTTGATAAATTTTGTACCTAGATTGTCGTTTGTACATCGAGTTAGCACGTTCAAGTGCTATAAAAATTGGAGATAAACATTCCTATTAGGATGTTATCGTCTCTAAGGTACAAATCTAGTTCATTCAAAAAATTCTTTCAATTAGAAGATACAATTACTCGCTATCCAATAATAAATCATAATGATAATTAAAGCTAATGAAATTATTACTGTGGATTTACGTTAGAGATTACGTTTGCACATGATTAATGATTATTCAATCCTAATTCTACATTTGCTTATAACAGAAGACGTTCGTCTATTGCGTATCTTACAGTATACATGATTGATTCTTTACGTAACATGCATACGTGTAAAAACATAAGAGTTCAAATTAAAATCGATGTAGCTGACAATTTTTTTTTAATATAATTTCACAATAATTGCTTAATGAAGAAATTGGTGTTTAGTGTTCCCATATATATATACTCTACCTAGTACATATCAAATAATTGCACACGTAGAATCATTCCTCTTGCAAACTACATTTTTTCACAGCCCTCTTGTGAAAATATATAATTTAAAATTCTCATATACATTCCTGCAATAGATCTAGTTTAGAAACTAAAAACAATTTTTGTTACTTTCCATCCATGTACTCCGTTTCAAATGCTTGAAACAAGTATCTCCATGGATTTTGCATTGCCTATGTACAAACATACAATTATTTGTACAGTTGTTAATGTATGATAGAACTCGAAATGAACTATTCCCTATAGCGCTAAACTAATTCCTTTAAATCTATCGTTCTCTCTCACTGTTACGCAAGATCTCGAATTATACTCGTCCCAGAACAAATATCACTGACATTCGTTTCGTTATTAGCATCCTCACTGTTAACACTGGAAGAACTGTCATCTTTCGACTCTTGACTAACTTTCACGCTGTCTAACTTCAAATCTATAGAACTCTCAGTTCTCGAGATATCACTGATATCCGTATCGTCCAATCCCAACGTTACATCTATGGAGGATTCCAGTTTAGATTCCGGGCTAAGACAGGAACTATCTAAATTAGATAGGGCTTTACTATCAATCTCAAGAGATTCGTCCTCGTCAGTTTCCTTAGATTTATTAAGTTTCTCTGTTAACTCTGCCCAAGGATCCTCCAAAAATGATCTCATATCTATATAATTTGATATGTTAACTTGTTTTCTGGGATCTTTGTGATATCCCTGTATGTAGAAGAAAATGCTTATTGACAATGAATGGCATTAAGATAATTTGACCATGAAGATGAGAATTATAAATTACCTTCTTCTGGCCATAGAACTGTTTGCCAGATAGCTTGTAAGGAGAGTAGGAATTATTGAAATTGGACTTTGGGGTTGAATGATAACTGTTCCTGTAATGGTTAAACGCACCACTGCCAGATGAATTACGGTATCCACCTCCAGAATTGTGCCAACTATCGTTCAATCTCTTTTGCTCTGGCAATGGTGAACTGATGCTCAAGGGAATAAAATCATTCCCTGACTGACAAGCCTGGCTACCGTTCGACGCAGAATATTGATAACTATCACTCTTATTGTTAGCGTAATGATAACCTGTTCTGTTCTTGTAATCGCGCGATTTCCAGCTATAGTTCTGTCTGATCTTGCTACCGCTCGGGGTACTCAACGGAGACTTCTTCATTTTGTGATTTGTGTTCGATTCAAATTCGTTTCATGGGATTGTAAATATTTAGAAGCTGTTTCTTACAAAACGGTACATTAATTACAAACACAAGCACAAACACAAGCCAAGCCTCCCAATCGATGTCCCGTGGCATCGATCATGGCATCGATAGCTGGTGGAATCGACGAACTTCGATTCGATAGACGAACGTGAGAAAGAAGCGAGGTCGCTTTGAAAGTCGTAGTGCTCATCTATGTAATACATGATCGTTGTCCATGTACAGATGGCACTGAACCGGGGTTAACGAGCATGCGTAATACTGGCCGATGGTCGCGGATGCAGGAGGAGCGGCGCAGATGCAGCGAATGCCTCGTCCAGCGTAGTAGTGGGTAGTACATTTTTTATTCGAAATCGTGCTTTTGTTCACGCGAGTGTTCGTATTTCCTCGATGGATGGCTCGTCGTCGGCGGTACCTGTTGCGCGAACCGGCGCGTGCCGGCTCCGTTTGTTTTCTTACCGATAGTCCCCGGGTCAAATGCAACTAAGAAAAATGAACCGTCTCCGTTGTTGACGTTCGCTGAGTGGTGCGGTGCGTGACAGTGGTTGGTGTGCGCGAAAGGAATAAGGAGGATAAACGCGTGCAAGGAAGAGGCTGTTTATGTATGTAAAATAATGGGGATCGTGCAGAGCCGTGGCGACAGCGACGGCGGCGGTGGCGGTGGTGTGCGCGAGGTGTTCATCGGCGGTGTCAAGGGCGGCACGCCTCACCATCCTCAATATCAACCTGGCAGCCTCGGTATGGGAAGCCTGACCGGACCACGCAGCGGCAGCATCCGCTCCGCGCCGAGGCAGCCGATGCCCGACGCCGTCGAGCTCGAGAGGCGTTTCACCAAAGTCCTGGTACGTTCGACAGTAGTACCCCTATCGTTTCTTGAACAGCTTCGAATACAACAATCGTTAAAACGGGAACTTCGATTGATTGTAAAAACGATCGTAAAAAAGGATTGTCTTTTGGAAGTCTTCACAGGAATGATCGCTATGATTATTCATAAATCGTATCCTATCTTTGTTAATCTTTATTATATTTTCCTCCACGAGCTTTCAATGCAACGATCATAGAAATCGAAAGCTAACTTTAATTGAACTGTAAAACAGAGAAGGACCGTCTTTGGAAAGTTCTTTCTATGCTATGACTGTAAGTCCCATCGCTGAAATAGCAAACAATAGAAAATCTAGACTGCATTCACGTTTGCAATCTGTATAGGTAGTTAAATGTTTAATTTCTCTCAAACGATCCACGTTATTAATAGTCGTGTACACTGATAAATATCAAATCGAATGTCCAGCAATAATTCAAGAGTTGTGATTAAGCACTTTTTAAGGTTCTAAATTAACATTCATTCCTGTTCACCACTCAACCGTCCATTATAAGAAAACGTTTTTGATACATTCTTTTTCTTTTCCTGATGCAGTACATTGTGTTCAATTTCGTTAAAATGCAGCGTTGGGTTACGTACGATATTTCAGAGAAACACGCATCGGTGCATACAAAATGACACTGTTGTGTGTCGTGCGAAGCTATCTTTTGACGACAGGCACCGCACGCGGGTTCGATTTGCGCCGACATCGACACAGTAATTTGATATTAATCGAGCAGCTTTGATACCATCGCGAAACACGTGCTTTGAAAATCCACTAAAAACCTCTCTTCGAAAACTGTGCACTTGCCGCTCAATTAATATCAATAATTTAGATAATAAAAGAATCACTTTTATCATCTCATATTACGTAAGTAATATTTGAGTTCAAGTACTCATTATCATGTTTGATAATCGTTAATTTTCATTAGGATGAATTATTTTTTAAATCTATACATCGTCATTCTGTACATTATCTGACCAAGAAATGTTTTTACTGGACTGGGGAAAGTACGAGATTGTGACATTGTTATTTTGGAGATGCAACGAGATCCAGGATCTTACTGTGTTCTCAGGAATCGTGTAGGTTCAGAGTAGGAGATAGCTGGCTATGATACATAAGTACCTGGATCAGTTGATAGAGGAATCACGATTCTCCTTAGGGTTCTCGCAGCCAACGCGAAAACTTGGTTGACCGACGCCCACGCCTCCTCCTCTTCTTTTTATTCTTCCTCTATTTCCCTTTGATCTTTCTCTAACGATAGCGATAGCGAGTTCATGTCTTTCTCTATGATGTCTGGACCATCGCCAAGCCAGTTGAATTGACTAACAGTTCAAATTCGCTTCTTCACTTCCAAAATATTACCAGTTCATAAAAGTCTAATTCAGGTTCAGGCAATATAATTATTAATCAATAGTTACTGGAACTGATTCATTCAGCGAAGAATCGATAATCTTTATGATTCAATTTAATTGTATTTAAAATTAGATCTTTCTTAGGAAGCTTTAGAATTCAGATAATACTGCAATTCATGTCATTGATAATGATTACTTCACAGTATTTGATAATTTTTTTCCATTGATGACGGCACGAAGCAGTTAAAAGTATTATTGATTTACGACTAAATAGGGGAATTGTTCTTATCAATTTTAATTCCAATCGGATATTTCGTTTGAAATATTTGACAGTGTTAGTGGGTAGCCAACGAGTCGCTAGCTCGTAGTTGAGGAATAATTATCAAAGAACGGATGCGGAAGCCACGAGTGCATGACATCATTATTCACTATACAAATACACAACTCATACTGCATACGTTTCTGTGGATGAAACGATGACCGCGTTTCCTAGCTTGAAATTACGTAAATTGTAACTTACACGGCCACTTTACCATGTCACTGTACCGTCATGATTAAAGTAAAGCAATTTAACATTAACCGATTAACCCTAGAACGAAATGCCATTCCTTATTTGACTCGTGATCCGACTATTAGATTTACGTTCATTTTAATACTCGGAGGATTGAATAGAAGCGTATTAAAAAGTTCTCGTTGCGGCTAATCACATTTTATTGCGAAACGTAAAGTAATACTATGAATTGAAACGTAGCTTTTTAATTCAGTAAACTTTCTTGTGCATCGGAGCAGAGAGGGAATCGCTCTTGAACACGTAATTTGTTTTTCATACGGTTTACTCGACAGAGAAAGTAAACGTTCCCCTTCGGTAAGCAGGATGAATTATGAATTTCCAACGACGCGAGTTCGGTGAAAATCCTCCGCGTTTCGAACGTTCCTGTTAAACTTTAGAATCGAAGAAGAAAAGTAGTAATTTAACAGTAGGTAACACGATATTTGTACAGTAGTCACGGTTACCTGACCATTTAGAGCAACTCGAGTTTCGATTCGGCTCCACGAAACCCTGAGAGTTAAACTTAACGTTAAAGAAACATTGTTGTTCTTTTTAAACGATTACTTCCTTTAAGAAATCCTTATTCATCGATCGAGCCTACCTAACATTTTTAGTTTTCATTGACGTTATAGTTTTATGGCAAAGGTCAGTTACCAAGTAAAAGAATATATTCTAACGGCTTGTTCGACTTAATGAAGCCTAAGTTCGATTGTAAAAACCGTTCGTTAGCGAACGAGAGCGCAGCCTAGATTTCTGAATGAATATTGTTCATAGATTTTCATGTAACGAGCCGATAGATGCCTGATTCTTTGCATCAGATAAGATTCTCACGAGCTAGAAAGATTGGAGAAAGTCGGTGGCCGTCGAGCTTCGACTATATGTATAGTAATAATAAATATTAGGATAAGTACATAGCGTGGAGCTATGTTTGCCAATGCGAAACTCGAGTAGGGAGTAGTTAGGCAACCAGTAAATCTAATTAGCGAGCTTTCGGTGGCAATATTACCTGCAGGGGAGTCAGATAACTTTAGTAATTAACAATTCGAGTTAGGAAGCATATATTTAATTATTATAGGAAAAAGGGAAGCGATTTACAATTGTAAATTCATCGGAGGTTGCAATATATTTAGTTTATAATTATATTTTCTTAGAATATTGAACGATTTTCGTTAAACTTGGTTCTCTAGTCAGAATTTATTATTTTTATTATAACTCATTTATTCTGCGAGTTTTCTTTAATATTCTATTAAGACTAACGTTATTTACCGTAAAATATTAAAAATATGCGAAGTACAATGAGCTTTTTAATATTTTCCTTCTATTGGACATTTGAAAAAGTTGGAAGTTGAGAGTTTGAAACGTCGGCCAGACGAGGGTGAAACGAGGGTAAAAGCTTTGGTTGGGGCGCAGAGGGTTGTGCACCCCTGACTGTACGGCTCGCGAACCATTGAAACGAGTAAACCTCCCGCCAGTTAAAATCCACCGCAATCGATATTAATTTCTTTCATTATGAAAATCGAGTATACAAGTCTGTTAACTCTTAACGATACTATTTATAATCTTAGAGACAGACAATCGTTTATGCTATTTTCTATTTTAATTTCTTTATTCGTCGCCGAGTTATTTATAGGATCGTTGCTTATAGATGGTTTTCGCATGAACGAAGTCTGATGCCTGACAGCGTTGTATTATATGGGGAACTTAACGAATGCCATCATCGTTATAATCACGCGCGATGAATCATAAGATTCGGTGACGAAACGAGTCGGTTCGCAAACCTGCTCGGAATATCGTTTAAGTAAAAACGTTACTCGTATCTCATAGACTGAAAGCTAAACGAAATCTATTATTAAAAAATTCATTAAAAACTAATGGAGATAAAGAATTACATAGATTTTTATCATTAAACGATTGTTCAGATATTTCCTATCGAGTCTGAATGACCGTTAATGATTTTAAATGACATCGAATGAAACGAACAAAATCTATTATTAAAAAGTTCATTAAAAACTAATGGAGATAAAAAATTATATAGATTCGCTTTATTTTATCATTGAACGATTGTTCAGATATTTCGTATCGAATTTAAATGAGTGTTAATGATTTTAAATGACGTTGAATGCATCGAATGTAAAAACAATACTGGATGATGGTTCTTCAGGTTTGATAGTTTAACTGTTAGTATCTAATGACTACCGAATGCCTGTTTTCACGGTCAAGCGAAAGCGTTTAGGCGCCACCACAGCTGTCTCGTACATATGTATGTATGTATCTATATGTAGATACATATAAGTAAGTACGTAGTACGTATGTGCATAGAGATTTATTTATGGCGCAGAAATAGCTCTATTCACACGTGCGGGCCATTTGGCCAAGGGCCATTTCCCTCTTTCCGTTTCCTACACGGTTCTTTGTCTCTATTTCTATTGATAAACTGCAACTCGCGTGACAAACACAGCCGTTAGCAAATCCGGCTTTTCCCACCGTCGAAGCGGTAAACTTTTGGTAAAAAATTTCATTTTTCCTCAAATACTTCTAAACCGTTGGATCTATGAGTAAATTGCATACGACCTTATTTGTAGCTAGCGACTAAAGCTATAAGTTTTGTATGAAACATTTTTCACTAGCGGCAATAGGTAAGAAGTTATTTGCTATAAACGAGAATTTCGCAAAATCTAAAGGGGTATTTTTTTTCTCAAAATATGGAAAAATGCTTCAAGTAAAAGTTGTAAATGCTGTTATCAACTACAAGAAAGGTCGTATACGATGTTTTTCTATCTTGAATACTTCAGGAGTAATCGATTAATTATTTCGTTCATCGCCAATTATTCCTTAACGAGTGGAGTTAAAAGAAAATTGCATGGGACTTGTATCTGGCAACTGTTCAGCACCGACAAGTGTTTTGCTTTCTATTTCTTATTTCGTTGGCAATATATTCTAAAGGACGTTAAAAATTGCCAAGTTTTTCGTGCGACATGAAGTCCCATAAGGCTGCTACTCTTTAGTAATCTCTCCTCGGTATACGTACTGTGGAGACGTTAAGGCTCGTGGATAGGCATTTCTGTTGTGAGAGACACTGGCCCCTCTATATATAGAAACGCCGGTTTTATCTTTTCCTGTGGATATTTTCAGATAAACCTCGGCCCTTGGACAGTACACACGTATTGTTTAGCTCCTCTCGTATTATCGACAGTGGCTTCTTTTTTTTTTTTCTTCTTCCCAGCTTCCTTGTCAACCACGACTGCGTGCACCGATCCAGAAATAATTACATAGATTAATCTGTCTTTTATTAATAGAGAAACAAGAACCCTTTTCCTATACCTTTCCCCTTTACTGCACAGGAATTTTTCTCAAGCTTCCTAATGCTTCTACAGGAATTCTGTGCACAGGAATTATGAAGATATTTTTCTCTACGTATTTTCTTAGAAACAGTTTCATAATATTTTAAGAATTCGTTGAGTTATATTTCCTAAGAGTCACCCATTCCTTGAAAAAGTGCATGTACGTACTTTTTATCAAGTTCTATTTTATCTTGGATTAGTCATTGGAAGCTCGTTTTTTCTGCAAATTATTTAGTCAAGGCTACTTGAACAGTTCCATTTGCAACGCAAAATTTCGATAACGATGTTCAATAACAAACTACGACGAAGTTTTTTCCTTTGGACATAAACACGTTTTCTAACTACGAGCCTTGCTCAAATATAAAAAGAATGGATGGTTGTGATTCTATCTTGAATGAAACGATTAAGATGAACGTTTTGCTGGATGTTTTCTCTGTGTTCCAGGCCTCGATGGATTTGCCTCCGGACAAGGCGAAGCTGTTGAAGCAGTACAACAACGAGAAGAAATGGGACATCATATGCGATCAAGTGAGCACAGACGCTGCGCGGTTTTGCGCGTTCTTAAATCGCCCCGACGTTTACCGTGGTATTAAAACATGATCAGTCTTGCAACAGGTCCAATTTTATCACATTCGATTCATTCCACATTCCATTGCATTCGTTGATGAGAGGCACAATCGATTATGTAATTAAAAAATATTTTTTATTAAGGTAGCTCGACAAGTTGAACTAAACAAT